TATTTATTTATTCATGAGAGACAGAGAGAGAGAGAGAGGCAGAGGGAGAAGCAGGCTCCCAAGGAGCAGGGAGCCTGATGTGGGACTCGATCCCAGGACCCTGGGATCATGACCAGAGCCGAAGGCAGACGTTTAACCATCTGAGCCACCCAGGCGCCCCTAATATTTTATTTATTTTTGCGACAGAGAGAGAGAGAGCATGAGCAGGGGAGAGAGGGGTGGGGAGGGGCAAAGGGAGAGCAGACTCCCCACTGAGCAGGGAGCCCGATGCAGGACTCAATCCCAGGACTCTGGGATCATGACCTGAGCCCAAGGCAGACGCTTAACTGACTGAGCCACCCAGGTGCCCAACAGCATAGAGTCTTAAGAGAACGGGTCAATATCTGTGGAATCAAACTGCTCCCGAAAAGCATTTTGGAATATCAAAATTTATTTTAATCCAGATACCTATATTTTTGTAAGGCAAAGACATGGCATGAGTTTTTAAGGTAAATTTGTGATTCCTTAAAGTTTGGGCATACCCTTCTTTATTCATTGGTGGGGTCTTTTTTTCCTTTTCTCAAAGAAAATGCCCAAGTGCCTGGCATATATCCATACTCAGTAAATATTTAATGTTTAATGAATAAAACTAGAGTTTAAAAATCATTGAATTAAATGCACTTCCACACTTCCTCTATTTCTCTTTTCACATTCACACTCCATTTCTGCTCTAAATAGAGAACTAGTTTATGGAGGAGAGCAAGCAGAGAAAGGGGACCCTGGCTGTGACAGAGAGCTGCCCTCATTGTTCAGATGAGGGAACGGACCCAGACAGTGGACAAGACTTGCCCAAGAAGCCCCAACAAGGTGGTATCCAGGGCTAGACATGCGTGTTTCCCAATTTCCAGCTTTGTCCACTCTGTTGTCATGTCTCTCATCTGTCCCTGCAGATTTACATGTTGGTTATGAGGATAAGGAGAAGTGAAGGTCACGGTGTCCCATTTTATCTTCCCCATGATGAGTTCTCTAACATCAAAGACCATTAGTCAGTCTGATCGCTAGAAGGTGTGTGCAAACAAAATGGGTTTTGTTTTGTTTTGTTTTTTTGAGGTATCCCTGCTCACTGCTCTGGGCACTATTTCAACATAATCTTGGGGAGAAATAAACACCGAAAATAAAATATCTGTTCGATGAGCAACAGCTACTGTGTTTCCTTATCACTCCTAAAATGAGGAAGTGCTTGGTTCTGTCAACACAGGGCCCAACAACCTCCGAGGGTGCAAGAGGGAAGGGCTTGTTGAGAGGCACAGATTGCACACCAGGATCCTTGGATTCTGGTCCCAACCCTGCTCAAACTAGCAGTGTGATCTTGGGCGCCTCCAATCCCCTCTGTGGGTCTCAGTTTCCTCCTCCGCAAAATGGGAAGAGTAGGGAAGGGGATAGTGTCGAGGATCGCCAAAGTCCCTTCAGAGACTCTGACATGCTGCAGTTCTCTCGCTGATAGGTGAGGACTGGCTGTGCCAGGTGGAGTCATTAGACCTTCCCCACCTGATGACCTCACTTCCTGTTTGAGCACAGAGCGTGTACAAATTGTAGAGGAACCGGTGACCTCCCTGCCAGAGAAGGTTGACACGGGCACTCCTTGGGCCTGGGGCTCTCGATTTTCTCACCCTGCTACTATAAATACGTTCTTTTGTGGCAGTCTGTGCATGGGTCTTATTTTCCCAATTAGACATTAAGCTCTTTGTATTGCCTCAGAATTCCCAAAGCAAGCTCAGTAAATATTAGACAGGCAAAATGATCACAGAGGCTCTTCCTCATTCAGTGCCCACCTTTCTCCCTCCGCTCCCCTGGTAATACCTCCTTCCCCCATCCCTCCTCCCCGTTATTTCTGCCAGGACTGTCACAATGCCTTTCCATCTGGTATTCCTGCCTCCCGGCTTGCTCTTCTATACTACAGTTCAAGATGTCCCCTATGGCTCCCAATAGCAAAATGGACTACTCCCAGCTCTCGGCACGCACTGGGCCTTTCACACCCCCACGACTGAACCCCGCTGTGAGGTCTCTTCCCCAGTGTTCGTTCATCCCTCCGCGGAGCGCGGTCAACGACGCTTTGTGTTTTTCTCCCTTTGAGCGCCAGGGGGCGCTGCAGGAACGGCTGACCCGGAGGGGAAGACCGTCGCCAAGCAGCCTGGGTTGACACGCCCCCTTTCCCTTCCGAGCCAATCACTAGTGAGAGTGGGCGGAACCGCGCGGCCTATACCTGCGCGTTAAGAGGTGGCGGTGGAGGCTCGGAGGCAGCGACGCGGACCTCCGACATGAAGTCGAGGGCGGTGGGTCCCGGGCGGCGGCTGCTGCTGCTGCTGCTGCTGGTGCTCCGAGCGGCGTACGTGCGCGGGGCCCCGCGTCCGCGCCGCTACACCCCGGACTGGCGGAGTCTGGACGCCCGGCCGCTCCCGGACTGGTTCGACAAGGCCAAGTTCGGGGTGTTCGTTCACTGGGGCGTGTTCTCGGTGCCGGCCTGGGGCAGCGAGTGGTTCTGGTGGCACTGGAAGGGCGAGGGGCTGCCGCAGTACGAGCAGTTCATGAGCGACAACTACCCGCCCGGCTTCAGCTACGCCGACTTCGGGCCGCAGTTCACGGCGCGCTTCTTCCACCCGGAAGCCTGGGCCGACCTTTTCCAGGCGGCCGGGGCCAAGTGAGTGTCGCCGCGGGGACCGGCGGAGCCCCCCTTCCCGGCTCGGCCTGACGTTAGGCAGGTGGGAACCGAGTGGGGGCGGAGTGGGGGAGACGAGCCGGCTCGCCCGGGGTCGCTCAGCTGCCGGTCTGACTTCGGGTGCCCGCGGGTCCTGTGATTTGCCTCCCGAAGGATGCAGAACTGAATGTGGCACGACTGATCACGCGAAGGAGGCGCGTCTGCTTGAGGGTTAGAAAACAGTAAAGGTTTTCAGGGAGGTCGTGGGCTGGAAAGCCCTCGGTGTCTACGCCTGTATATCGAGACGGTCGAGCTGTGTGATACCTAATGTCCCTTCCAGGTCATCAAGACAATCAGGATTCCAGAATTTTCATCCACTGGTCTGGCGTTTTGTCACCTTCCTGCAGCCTCCTTCCATGGTGATACAAAGGGGTTGTATTAGTTCCTTTCAGCTTTAACGTCTCCCAGAGGAAAAGGGAGGGAAAGAAAGTGCGCAGTATATTTGGACAACAGGACCGATTCTCACTCACCTGCTCTTCTCAATGCCTTGCACACAGAGAGTGCCCAAGAGATGTTTGAACTATTTTGAGAGCTGTCTAAGCTTGCGTGCGGAGGATTCAGAGAAGAAAGTGTGGCGTGGCGTGCTGAAGTGGGGAAGGGAGAGTCTGTTGAAGGCTGGGGCCAATCCGGAAGGACTAATCCTCGAGGGCAGTATGTTGTCCGATGTGAGATGTGAAGTCGGAGAATGGTTGCCCCCAGCTTCTAGAAGAGTTAGCTTGGCGGCCAGGAGGGAAGCGGGTTGGAGGAGGGTAAGAACGGAGGCAAGGAGGTTTTCCAGCTCCTGGCTTAGAGCGGTCTTCCACCCTTACCTTATCTCCTCAGTCACCTCCTGGGTTTTAGTTTCCCTTGGACAAGTTTTCTTGTACTAAAGAAAATTTACAGCTGATGTTTAGTGTTTGCCGATAAATGAATGGGAATATAAGACTCAAATAAACACAGGTGGTGGTCACTGTCTAATAGGAGCCTTAGAGATCCCTAATTTACAAATTAAAAAAAAAATTGAAATCTGGGAGACCTTTGTCCAGGCCCCTTATTTTGTGGCCCAGGTGACAAGCCCAGATAGAGGAAGGGAACTAATGTCCTATGTCCAAATCTCATGACTCCAAGGCAAAGGTTCCTTTCACCATACCAGGGGTTTGCAAACTGGCCAGAGAGATAGGTCCTCTGCCTGTTTCTGTAAATTCCATGAGATGAGAACGATTTTTACATTTTAAAAAGGGTTAAAAAAGAAAAAGAATATGCCACAGAGAGGAATGGAGCCCACAAAGGCTGAAATACTAACAGGCCCTTAAAGTTTTGGAGCTCCCCACACCAGCCAGTGATTAAATTATCATGTGCAGGCATCATGGGGTTTTCTGCCATATGAGCAAATGAAATGTTGAGTGTTATTTCAACACTGCACTTTTCTCTCCAGCTCTTTTGGTCTTTTGTCACCTCTGTAAATGAGAGGCAGTTCATATGACCTTTTGTTTTACTTTTCTATCATCTGCTATTTCCAGAACGAGAGAGCTCAGGTGCACTTCTTTTCCCTTACTCCTTCCTTCCCTCTGGGCCTCCTCCTTGGCTGGGGACTAAGGACTCTGGCTTCCTTAAGTTTGCTTCCATTTCTGGAACAGTACCCACGGGGAGATGTGACTGTAGCGACTCCTTGGGTATCACCAACACAGTCACGCATGCAAGTACATTTCCTGTGGTCAAGTTCTCCCAACCTTTTTTAAAACCTCAGGCATGCTGGGTAAGCTCATGCTTCTGGCCCACCACCTGCTTCCTTTGCTCATGTAGTTCTGCTGTCCACAGGTATGTAGTCCTAACGACAAAGCACCACGAAGGCTTCACAAACTGGCCAAGCCCTGTATCTTGGAACTGGAACTCTAAGGATGTGGGTCCCCATCGTGATTTGGTGGGTGAGTTGGGAAAAGCCCTCCGGAAGAGGTAAGTATCTACAGATGGTTACTCTTGTCATCTCTTTTGATCTATCATTCCTCTGTGCTCTCGTGTGTTTTCTAAGTTTGCATGTAGTGAGTAAACCTGAAGGTTTCTGGCCTTTGCATTAGCAGTGTTTGATGCTCGGCACTTTTCATGTGACCGAAGGTGGTATCATCAGGAAGTTCATGGCCCTGTTTAGGTGAGGGATGCCCAGTGTAGACCACAGTGCCTCATATGCATTCTGTGAAGGATTCTTTCTGGAAGGCCTTCCAACCCAAGGCCTTTTCCAGTGTCTGATGAAGGACTGGCTCTGTCATCTTTGTGTCCCCCTCAGCTGTCAACATGCAGCTTTGTGGGTATTCAGAGAAAGTTTGGATGAATCCTAGGTCAAGAGGGAACTGACAAAGGCGGCAGTTAAGGGAGCCAGAAAGTGAGGTAAGGAGCAGCTTGGTTGATTCTAATTGATGCTCCCTAATGTTTGCCACTTAATAAGAAGTAACTTCCCGAGATCAAATAGCTTGGACGTGGCAAAGGTGGGATTTGAACCCAGTTATTCTGGTTTGGGACCTTACAGTTCTGGGTATGATTACCTATAGAGAGGAAAAGTGGTATTTGTACTTTACCCCATCTCAGCTTTATTGTGATTTGGTAAACTTGATGCCCTATTTAAGGAGTAGGCCAGCTACCTGTTTGTATAAATAAAGTTTGATTGGAACACAGTTACACCCACTTATTTATGTGTTGTGTCTGTGGCTGCTTTCAAGTTACAATTTCAGAGTTGGAATAGAGACCGCAAGGCTTGCAAAGACTAAAATGCTATGTGGCCCATAAAGAAAGCATCTGCTGACTCTGGTCACCTGGTCAATATTCAGTTTCCCAGTGCTGTGCACAAAGTCCTGCAAAGCAAAAACAGTCCTGCTATAAAAGTCAGATGTTGATTAGACTGGACTTTATGATCCTTGATTTTTACCTTCTTTGTATCTATTTAGTCCCCGAGTCATATGATGAAATATCTAACTCTAATTCTTTCTGTCTTATCTGTGCTGTTGCAATGTTATCCTTACTTCTCACTGCAGGGTGGCGTTTCTGTGACACTCACCATTCATAACTCCAAACAAGTTTTATTGTGTACGAAAATAGGTCACTTTGACTCTTTTTCATTTTGGTTGAGAATTCTTAACATTTTAATGTTAAGAACTGTTAGTAAATCTTAAATGAAACAATAAACCCATGTTCATTAATTTCAACTATGTAGAAAATGTTACTAATGATTATTTCCGAGTGATGAGATTTGGGATGTTTTATTCTTTATACTTTTTTCTATTTTCCAGTATCTCTACAATATGTATTCTTACGACTGACAGAGAAAACAGTTTTTAAAAAGGACTGTGTATTATTACTGAGATAATGGACATAGATAAAAGATGGTTTAAATGACATTTCAGGGGCTCCTGGGTGGCTCAGTCGGTTAAGCATCTGCCTTCGGCTTAGGTCATGATCTCCGGGTCCTGGGATTGAGTCCCGCATCGGGCTCCCTGCTCGGTGGAGAGTCTGCTTCCCCCTCTGCCCTCCCCCCACTGCTTGTGCTCTCTCCCTGTCTCTCCAAATAAATAAATAAAATCTTTTTAAAAAGTGACATTTGATGTTAAGGTATTTATGTATAGAAAGTAATCCTGTGTGTGATCAAAAACCCAGTCATTTTGTTTAAGTTAATGATAAGAGATAATTTAAGGAAATGGTTGCGATCCCACTTGCCCCTGCACACCCTTACTCATGAGTTTCACTGAGATGTAAAAATGCTGCCACTGGTTTTTCTTAAACTACAGTATTTTTTCTTTGTTTAATGGACATTTGCTGTTCTGTTTTTCTGTTTAAGGAACATACGTTACGGACTCTATCACTCACTTTTAGAATGGTTCCACCCACTCTACCTACTTGATAAGAAAAATGGCTTCAAAACACAGTATTTTGTCCGTGCAAAAACAATGCCAGAGCTATATGACCTTGTTAACAGGTAAAAAAAAAAAAAAAAAAAAAA